GCCCGCCACAACGCCTGGCTATTTTTTGGTTGCAGCCATCATTGTTGTTTGGCCGGCCTGGGCTGGATTCGAACCCGCCACCTTAGGTGTATGTGGCTAGCGCCTTAGCCACTTGAGCCACAGGCGCCAAGCCCATGGTTTTCAAACTTTTATAAAAAGTTTTGTTTTGACAAACGTTTACAAGAAACTCCAACACATAAGTGGAGCTAATCAGAGCTGCTATGATTAAAGTTGGGGAGGATACGTGGGGTCTGCCAGCTATCCCCTCCCCAACACCATGGTGGCCTTTGAGACTCACCAGTGAATCCTTAGGCACTGAAGGGGATAGTTACAACCAACCAGTGTAGTCCACATCCTGCATGTTATAGCCAAAGAAACCAAAGACTATAGAGGTAGCAGTGCATTGGTAAGTCAGCCCTTCAACAAAAGCAAGCCTCTCGATTTGCGATGTGTTCTCTAAGAGAAATAGAGGCCTTTCTTTGTAGCATTTGTCAATTTCTGATTGCCCCCATGGTTGATTTCAGCGTGCCAACATGACCTCACTGGCTGCAGAGCTGGGAGGAGATGTGCATGAGAGCTTTTGTGAGCTGGTGGAGCCGGCTCCAAGGAAAAGTGACTTAGCCTAGAGAGTTGGGGCGGAGCTCATGAGGCTTGTGTCAGATGGCTCCTGGCTCTGGGCTCTGGCCACTGGCCCCAGCAAGAACATTCTGGACCCTTCTCATGACTCCATCTCCGAGGTCCTAACATTCAAAGACAAAGATCTGGGCATCAGGACTCTGTGGCCTTCCAGAATGGGGACCTCTGTGCCACTGGTGCCCTGCTCTTCCATCACCCCCCAAGTCCAGGGCAATAGGCTCCCAGCACAGAGCTGCAGTGGAGAGAGAATGAGGAGAGACTTCACCCACCCTCTCTTCCCAGAAGCCCCTCTCAAATGGAACATGAGCAGAGTATGAAGTAATACATGGGTCGACTTTTATTACTAAATACCATATGAGTATACAAAATGCATAACTGAATAACAGCTAAAAAAAAGTCCAAGAAATGTGAAATACACATTTTTTGAAATGATAAAAATGTATCCATGAAAAATATAAAATGTTGCATATATATACATAATATATATTTTTATATATATAACATAAATGAAAATCGTAAATAAGAAATGTGTACAACAGTGATGGGCGAGGCGGCAGTTCTACACAGCAGTCATTTGTTCCAATCAGCTCTGTTATTTACAATGTGCATTGAGGCAGTCTGTGAGCAAGAGGCTGTTTCCGCTATAGTTTCTTTCAAAAGTCACTTGTACTGCACATCAAGAGTCTTCAAGTTAACTGACCAAAGGGTGAGAAATCCTTAATCTGAAGTGGATGGGAGATGGAGAACGGGGCCAGACCAGAGTCTAGTTGGCCGGCATTGCACATAGGAGGGAGGGTGTGCCCCGGCCATCAGAACAGCAGCCTGCAGGAAAGCCACTGCAGAAAAGGGTCTTCCCAGGAGGAAACAGTCTTCTGGGCATGTGAAAACCAAGATGGCACTGTCTTGTGGGGGCAGGCACTGGCAGGAAGTTCAGGAGCAGATTCAAGTGTACCGTGGGGGTTCAGATCAAGAGAATGCCCCAAGGTCTCTTCCTGGCCCTGACATCTGTGGGTTTGTGATGCAAGGGCCTCTTCCCTCAGGGAAGGCATTCAAGTAGCAGCACTGAGGCATGTGGACAGGTTGTGTGTGGCATGGGGCCACTGCCCAGCCAGGCCCTGGATGCTTGGGCCTTACAGCTCCTTAAGGATAATCTGAATCTTGCCATCCAGCTCCCCCATGTCCAGTAGGAAGGCAACATGGTTGCTATAATGCTGAATAATGTTGTTGTCCATGTTGACCAAGATTCTGGAAGAGAAGAGGAGATGCAGCTGGAATATGGCAGGTGCTCTTATTTTCACAAGGATAATAGTAATGGTTAAAATCCAGAGGGTGCCTGCATCATTTCAGGCACATCATAAACTCATTCCTGATCATCAAGGTGGGTATCCATAGGGCCCCTTTACAGGGGAGAGTATCCATTGTGCCCCTTTGTAGGGGAGGGCACAATGCCTAGTGGCCAAGCCACCACTGAAGTCCAGTCCTGCTGGCTACCACACCACAGCTACTACACTGAATGCCTCTCTCCTGAGTGTGGACACTTTTAAGCAACTGATATATAGATCTCTGGGAGATGAAGCCCTCCCTTAGTCACCAGATTGAGGTCTCAGACATGGAGTATAAGTTCAAGTCCAGAGGTGTGGTGGTTTAGCTTCAACAGGAGCTACCTGAGCTAGAGGCAGAGCTTGCACAAATTTCCCTCTCAGTTCCATCCCCATGAAGCTAAAAATCTCAAGGGGATTGTACAATAGACTTGAAGGGCCTGGTTCTCTCTCCCCACACCAGAACTAGGCAAGTTCTGGACCAACCTAAGAGACAGAACCTCCAAGGCTGTGGTCCTCATGCTAGGGGTCAAAACCACAGTTATGCCAAAGGGCATCTTGGTAGGAACAGTTCTTAAAGGACCCATCAAGATGTAACCTGAGCCCATCACATCAGCTCTCCCTTTGCCCCTTCTCTGCTAAGTCTTCTGAGCTTCTGAGTTGGGTATATCCACTCACCTACACATCTATCTGTCCACCCACTCACCTACCATCCATCTTCCCACCTGTCCTTCATCTACCCATTCATCCATCATCCCCCCAGAATTTGCTGAGATCTTTCCATGTATAGGGCCTTGCTCTAAAAACAAGGATCACACAGAGACGAATAAGCAGGGAGTGACATAAAATTAGACCCAGATCCTGCCCTCCAGGAGTTTAATATCTAATAGAGGCTGGGAGAATGAATCCTTATAACCTCATTACTCCAGTTAGTAAATGGGGAAGCTGAGATTCAAAGAGGCAAAGCCACTTGCCAAAAGTCACATAGGTAATAGATGGCAGAGCTGGGATTTCAATCTAGATGTTTGCCTTTTTCGTCTGTATCTCTCTTTTTTAATATGGAAAAAAAAGTCCTTAAATACAAGTTAGGAAGTGGCAAATATAAGGAAGGCATAACACAGGGCTGGAGGATAGCTCAGACAGGTGAGATTGTTTCAAGTGGGGCACCAGTGGCAGGCAGGGGTCTGCTTTTGCAAGGACCCCATGAGGGAGGGCAGCAGAGACAGTGCTAAGTCTAAAACCCATGGCCTCTGTCCAGCTGTCCCTGCCAACATGAGCTGAGCAGCTGCTGCTTTCAAGAAGAAGGTTCAGGCTTGGACACCCAGAGGTGTGGGTGCTGACCAGGTGCTGACAGCCAGTGTGTAATTATGAGATCCCCTTCTCATAATTATGAGAAGTTCTCTCATTATGAGAACTTCCTGTGTGGAGTTCCTTCATTTCACAGAGAGATCTTTGTTTGGAGGAAGGGAACAGCCCAGAAGCGACCGGCACAAGGTAGAGGGATGGACACTTTGTCAGTGTATTCTGCGATGGCATCTACTGGGTGCTTCGAGGTGCCAGGCACTGTGAAAGTGTCTTTGGAACACCAACTTGAAAGCTCTCACCCTCCTACTCTCCAGCAGGGCTCCCAGTGGCCCAGAGCTCACATCTGCACATAAAGGACCCTTGACAGGCCTACGGACCCCTCCCCTTGGAGCTCAGTGACAACTGGACCCTGAAAGGCAGGGGCCTGTCAGGAACCACTGTTACTTCCCAGCCTCTAGTTATCTTCTGTTCTGGGTTGCATTAAATCTCTGGCCAGCTGCCAACAAAAACAATGTATTTGTTAATCTTTCAAGCACTCAGTGGTGCTTGTAAAGCTGATTCTATCTACCTTTGTCCAGAGGACTTTCAGGAGGGTTTTGTGAAAATAAACTAGGCTGCTGGTTAGAATTTCCTGCTCCTCAGATGAGGACTGGCCTCTCCTCTCCCAAGAGGTGTTTGGGGGATATTTTCATTCCAGCATTTCAGACATGATGTTTTCACAGCCCTGAGTGTGTGAGGGGAGCCTCTCAGAGGAGACCCAAGAGGGGCATCTAGCACAACCCTGACCTTGGGGGGTGCCTCTGAAGGGCCAGTGAGTGATGCCCTGGGCTACAGCACTCGGCAAATAAACTGGCTGGCCTGGCTGCAGCCTTTATTTGCACATTGCTTAGTGGTTAGTGAACAAGCAGGGAATGAGATAAAATAGTGGACACGTGTAGAGGCTGCAGATAGGCTGGACGCTTTTCTGCCAGCTACTAACCCATGACCTTGTAACTACTCAGGGCCTGAGCTTCCTTATCTGTAGAAACAGAGACATGATACTAAGCTCAAAGAACCAATGAGATGATGCTGGGGACATATTTAGGAAGGAAGTGCTAGTATGTAGGAAGTGTTCCATAAATAGAAGTCATAATTATGACTTAAAGAGCTGGCTGGGGCTTAGGGAAAGCCTCTTGCTACTCAGCTAGTGGGGATGGGGGGTGACATCCTTATAAGCATATCCAGCCCCCTCATCATACCCAAAGGCACTTCCCAGCCACTCATCCCCAGCCTGGGTGGGATCTGGAAGGGAGGCCTGCCACAGGTGGGGCGGAGCCAGGGGGTGTGGGCTCTGGCACCGGAGGGGAAGTGGGGCTGGGCTTGTCTGGGCAAAGCAGAGCCTGCCCTTGGCCACGTTGTAGATTCCGCTCCAGAGAACACGTGAGCCTCAGTTTGAAACCGAAACTTGGGAAAAAAACGATACAGAGAAAACTCTAGACATGCCTACAACTAAAACTAAATGGATCTCTTCCCAGGGGCTACAGAGATGGGCCGCTCTCCCACCTCCGGCCTTCTTGCTGGGTGGGCACTGAGGAGGAAGGAGGCAGGGCTGGGTCTGTGAATATGTGGGGCTGAAGCTTGAGTACAAAAACTGCCTCACTCTGTGTCTTCTAAAAAGGAAAACCCCCAGGGAACAGCAGTGACTGGGCATCTTCTGGGATTACTAGTAAGTGTAGGTGAAGGTTGACTGTCTAGAGCAGGAGGATCAGACCTGAGCTGTGGGCAAAAGCACCACGAGCACATTTCCCAAGTCCTGTCCTGGGAGCGCTGGGCTGGGAACAGCAGGGACAACCCCTCACTATCTGGGGATCCCCATGCTAGGCTGGTGAAGTAACCTAGTCAGGAAGGGTTGCAGAAGCCCAGCTCACTGGCTCTAACCAGAAGACAGAAGCCTGTGGGGCAGTGACCATGAGACCCTCCCCCTTTCCCAACTGTGTGGTCCTAGTGGAGGCTAAGGTACTGTGGTCCCTGTAGCCTGTGGTAGGTGGCAGGGTGGGGTATGGCGTCACTCCTTCTGGCCTACTTCTGGACTGAAAGTGGAGAGGTGCATCCCTGACAGGCTCCCTACAAACAGCTCCCAAATCTCAACCCCCTTTCCAGACTCATCCCAGCCATACCTCTCCTGTCCCAAACTCCACGGGTAGCAACTTTGCTGGGCCTTTCTCCCTCTGTGCCTCTGCCCCACTCCTCCTGCCCCCGGGCACTCTTCATCACCTCTGAGCCTCAGTTTCCTTATCTGTAAAATGTGTGCAATGCTATCTACCTCTTAGTGTGGCTATAGGGTTAAATGAGGATATCCTTAGCCTAGTATCTAAACACTGTAAGTGGTCAAGTGATAGTCGCTATAATCATTATCATCATAATCAAATGGCTTGGTTTTCCTATGGTCTTGGACTTGAACCTGGGTCTCCTGACGTGTGCCCTTGTATTCCCCCTCCATTCCAGGAGGTTGCATAAAAATGCCTTTCTGCCTCTCTTATTCCCATACTTCCCAATAGTGATCAACATCCAGTCTCTCTCTACAAGTGAGGGGTGATCTGCGGTGGCCTAACCAGGGACTCTCCACCCCAACTCCACACCCTCTCAGCCCCTCTACCAAGGCCAAGTACAAATTCTTTTTTTTTTTTTTGAGACAGAGCCTCAAGCTGTCCCCCTGGGCAGAGTGCCGTGGCATTACAGCTCACAGCAACCTCCAACTCCTGGGCTCAAGCGAGTCTCCTGCCTCCGCCTCCCAAGTTGCTGGGACCACAGGCGCCCGCCACAACGCCCGGCTATTTTTTGGTTGCAGCCGTCATTGTTGTTTTGGCAGGTCCGGGCTGGGGATTCCAACCCGCCACCTTAGGTGTACGTGGCTGGCGCCTTAGCCGGTTGAGCTATAGGCGCCGAGCCAAGTACAAATTCTTGTTAGCACTGAGCAGTCAGTAGGTACGAGGGTGAGCTGGGCACTTACCCCCGCTTGCACTTCTTGTAGACTTTGTAAATATTCTCTTCAGGGAACCCATACTTCTCAGAGATCTAGAATAGAAAGATAGAGAATTCACCGCCTGCTGCCCAAACTGGATTTATATTATCTTTTATACCATCATTTTTTTACTTCCTGATCATAAAAGTAGAGTATATCCATATATGGAAAAATATGAAGAAGAAAATTACAATCATCCACAATCTTGTTTCCCAGAAATAAATAGTGTTAACACCTGGTGGTATACCTTCCCATCTTCTGGCTGTGTATATAAATATTTTTATATTCCACATGGATAGTTTTTCATAAGTTTGCTTTTATTTTTTTGAGACAGAGTCTCACTGTTGCCCTGGGTAGAGTTCTGTGGCATCATAACTCACAGCAACCTCAAATTCTTGGGCTCAAGTGATCCTCTTGCCTCAGCTTCCCAAAGACCTGGGAATATAGGCACCGACCACAACAACTGGGTAGTTGTTTTCTATTTTTTTTTTTTTCTTTTTTAGTAGAGATGGGGTCTCACTCTTGCTCAGGCTGGTCTCAAACCCTTGAGTTCAGGAGATCTGCCTGCTTCGGTCTGCCAGAGGCTAGGATTACAGGCATGAGCCACCACACCCAGCCTAGTTTTATATAACTTTTTAAACTTATCATATTAGAAGCTTTCCCATATCACAATAAACACTTGGGAAACAGCATTTTTCTTTCTTTCTTTTTTTTTATTGAATGGTAACTATGTACATTAATGCACTTCTGGGGTACAGTGTAGGGTTTTCACACACAATCCAAAACACTTCCATCAAACTGGTTGGGAAACAGCATTTTTACTGGTTGAAAAATATCCATTTCCCTATTGTCTGCCTAATGTCAGACGTTTGGATTGTTCCAGTGCTAAAGGTGCCACCGCTTGCCAACTAGGTAGCTTTGTGCAAGCTACTTGTGGAGACAGTAATCATGCCTATCTCACAGAGTTATTGGACAAATTAAATGAATTGATCCACATAAAACACTTAGGAGAGCTCCTGGCATGTACTGAGACCTGAGAAAATGGTCATTATGGTTTTAGAAATGGAGCCAAGGAGATGCTTCTTGCCCTGCTAAATGAGGATAAGTCAAGTGTTTTCCCCCTTCTAAACAGGAATTATTAACCTCATTTCATGGGTGAGCATCCTGAGCTCGAGGAAAATAAGCCATGTGCCCAAAGCCTAGGCCCCAAGTTAATTGACTCCACCATCCCAGAACATTGGCTCTTATTCTACAAATGGGGAGATGGCTGCTCCAGGGGCTTGCTGAAGGACCTTCCTGAGCTCCCACTGATGAGTCAGCCCATTTGTCCCAGAGCTCCTGAAGTGTCCTCTAGGGCAGATGGCTCCAGTCTGGTCCCAGCTGCACCATATGGAGGTACTGAACTTTCAACAGGTCATCTTACTTCTCTGAGCCTCAGTTTCCTCATTTGTAAAGTGGGCATAGTAATGGCATGTATGCATAGGGTGGTTCTGCACATGAATGAAGAGTTATCTAAAAGGCTTAGCCCACGTGCCTGTCCCAGGGTGAGGGCTCAGTAAAACGTTAGGGTCTAATAGTACTGGCTGTCTGGAAGTGGCAGCTAACCTCAGGCTATCGGTTTCAGAGGGAAATGGTCTTCTCCAGGCATTTTAGGAAGAGGATCAGGTGCAGCTTCTCAGTTATTCTCTGCCTTGACAAAGATCCCTCCAGGCAAGAAAAGCTCTTAGATTACTATTTATCTTAACAGTGATGTGGCTGGAAGCTACAAGGAAGAAGACCTTAGGAACTTTCTAAGTATTGTAAGTGGAACCGACTGTGGAAAGACAACATGGGCTACCCCATGAGGTAGCAAGCTCTCTGTCCCTGGAAGGATGGAAGTCAAGAGTGGACACCCATTTTGAAGACAGAGCTCAGGCACCACAGGGGGAGCTGACCCTTTAATGTCCTGTCAAACCCAAAGATTCTGAGTGTATATTCAAGTGACATTAATGGCCTTTTGTGAGCTCAGTGTCCTGGGGCTGGTGCCAAACAGGGTGGATGAGACAGCAAGAGAACAAGACGGCGCAGCAGAGTGGAGAGAGCTTGGGCTGGGATCCCAGCTCTGTCACTTTGAGCCAGGTAACCTTGGCAAATCACCTGACCTCTGATGTGAAATGAGGAGATACTAATGGCACCCATTTTTCAGGGTTGCTAAGAGAATGTGATGAGGCAGCAAATGCAATGTGCCTGACCAAATGCATGGCACGTAGTGGGTCTTTAATCGAAGGTAGCTGACGTGATTATTTGATTAGTTTTCCCTCCTCCAGCCTGAGATCTTGGCACTATCTGGCTTTTCAGAGTGGCTTGACCTTCCAGCACAGCTGGCCCTGGTGGAGGCTGTGTTTGCTCAGTTGTCAGCCAAGCCACAAAGTTGGCTGTGGGTTTTGTTCAGAGTTGGGCTGTTTCACCCGCTCTCTGGCAGTTTAGGGGTTGGGGATGATCTCCTTGTCCAGATGCTGCCTTCAGCCACCCCAGCCAGTGCCCCCCAGCCAACCACAAGCAGGGGGAACGAGGCCCCCTGGGAAAGAAAAAAAGAGTGTCTCTGGGGCCCGGCCTTTTTGGGTTTCATTCCCATTAAAACCGAAACAGGTTTGCAAAGCCAACAAAAAGCCCTGGCCTGTCAGACAGCAGCCATCAGATTAAGGAGGATTTATGGTGTGTGCGACTCCCAGGGTGGAGCCAAGGTTCTGGCAGGGAGATAACATCGCAGAGGCACACCCCCACCAGCAGGCCCCCTATGCAGGGCGGGGGACAGGTAGGCCATCAGCAAGCCAAAGTCCCCTCCTGTGGGAAATCATGACTGGGTGGTGAAGAGCCCAGAGGGGGTCGGCCAGAGCAGTGGGGTCCATAAGGTATCTTACCGCATTCCTTAGCCCCTTCAGGTCCGGGGTCTTCAACATGAGGGCGTCAAACACTTCCTCCGTCTCTCGCCGCACATACAACAGAACTGAAAGGCAGAGGGTGACATTGAGGAGTGCAAGGAGGATACCATACCCAGGAACATCTCAGGGGCTGGAGAATCTGAATTTGAGATTAATTTTGAGATTAATTTCTGCTGAGGGTCTATCCTTAGGCTGAGCTGACTTGGAGGGTGTGAATCTCTGCACTCTACTACCTGCCAGCTGGATGACCTTCAACAAGTGATTTTAATGTCATGGAGCCTCATTTTATCCATGTGTAAAACAGGGGCTTTCATTGAGTTGTGGGAATTAATGATGACATCTGGAAACACCAAGTGTAGCGCAAAGCTCCAGGAGTCGCTGCTGGAAGCTCTTGAACTTAGTTCCAGGTTGGTTCTTTCCTGATGATCAGCTACAGCCCCCAGAGACTTGGGTGTGTCTCCCACTCCCCAGGAAGTCATAGGTTTAGAGGGTCAAGACTAGAAAGCCAGGCATGGAAACCCTACCCACCCCCTCTTCCATTAGAGTGTGAGGGCTTGTCAGCACAGTGAGCTGGATGCCTGCACCCACTGCCTGGGACCCCCATGTGGTTATCTCCCCAGGCAGTCTGGGTGCCCCATTACCCCCAGCCCCAGGTCTTAGCCCAAACCTAACTCCTCATGCCCTCCCCCAGGAGGCCTTGGGATAGGCAGATAGGAGGCAGGGTGGGGTGGGCTCTGTGAACAAATGGGAGGGAAGGCTACCTCTCTGAAGGTCATCTTCCTTGGACTGTTTGGAGGGCAGAGGCTCAAACTCCTCTGTGAAGGGCGAGCAGGTGCGCTTCAGAGGCAGCCTGTGGAGACAGCAGGAAGGGGCTGGTAAGGGACCCCAGGGGCAGATCACATGAGGATGGGTACAAAGCAGTGGGTCTAGAGCTGGGCTGCCTGGGTTCACCTGGCCCTGCCACACATACACCAGTGAACTGGACGAGTCCCTAGCCTGCCAGTGAGCCGATCTGTGACAGGGGATGATGACAACAACAGTTCATAAAGGTCCATGAGCCTGAAGAGATGGTGTGCTCTGCTCCCAGCACAGTGTGTGACTGGGGCGGGGGGTCACTCAGCACAGGGGGTCCCCAGTGAATGTGGACTGTCATCACCATCAATATCGCTCTCTCCTGAGGGAATCTGGTCAGGGGTGAGGCAGCAGCAGGAGGATAGATTGTGGGTTTAGGAGGAAGACAGATGTAGGTTTAGGAGGAAGTTAGACTTGGGTTTAGGAAAACAGACATGGGTTTTGGAGGAAGACAACATGGGTTAAGAGGAAGATAGATGCGGGTTTAGGAGGAAGAAAGATATAGGTTCTGGTCCTGCCACTGTGGCGTAACACTAGACTAGAAAGCACTTCACTTCTCTGAGCCTCAGTTTCCCCATCCATCAAGTAGAGTAACAATGCCTGCTCACCAGGGCTGTCCTTAGGTGGTAAATGACATCGATGGTGTAAAAGTACCATGTGACAAGTACATCTGGATTATAGGGGAGAAACTGATCATGAGACATAAAGTCTTTACATGTTGCTGTCTCATTTACAAAGATCCTGTCCTGGTTGCCTCTCCTTCAGCAGGCTAGTATCCCAATCTGGCAAATTTGTAGGCTGACACTCAGAGAGGTGAAGGGTCTGTTAGGGTACAAGGGCAGACAAAAGGGCGAGGGACCCTTCGTAGGCCAGGGGGCTGAGAGTCAGGTCCCCCAGGACCGCTGGTGGGTGTATGTTGGGGGAAGGAGAGGAGGCCTTAATCCCCCAGGTTCTCTAGGGCAGGTTCCCTCCTCACTCTCTGAATCTGCACCACACAGTCTTTCTTTTTCCCCTTTTACAAGCGGCTGTCTCGCCAGAGATTCGCCAACTTTTCACATAAAACAAACCTATAAAAACCCAGGCAGTTTCAGGGAGAAAGGAACGTGGTTCTAGCTTGGGGGCTGGGGACAGAGTCTGGTGGCTTCTTCCTCTGGCCACAGGCCCTGGCTGGTGGGCATGGGGGTGGGGGAATAGGCGGGTTGGGGTGGTAGGCAAGGTAAGGGGTACCCTTGGCTGTTTCTCTCTTTCTCTCCTACCTGCTAGAGCCACTGGGTCCTGCCGAGGAGACTGCCTGCAATAAAGAGAAAAGATGTTTTTTGTCACTCAGGAAGATGAGTGGAGCCCTCAGCTGCTGAAGGCTTTCTGAGAGGAACATTCTTTGGTGGAGAGGGAAAAGATACTGTTTTGATGCTTTTCTAGCCCATTCTCCTCAGACAAGTCTCCTAAGTGACCTGAAATCTCGCATGGAAAGGAATCGTCCAGCCCAAGCTGGATGAGTCAGGGACTCAGCAAACACGCAGGAGGTGGCAGAGCCATGTTGGCAGAGCAGCAGGTCCCCTCCAAGCCCTGACTCAGCCCAGCACAACCAGAAAGGGCTGGGAATTGCTGCCGGTGACCAGGCCTCAGAGCTGAGGTAAGGGAAGAGGGCACAGTAGCCTATTCCCTTGAGTGAGTCGCCTGCACTGTGTGGCCTGGTGCAGTCATCACCAGTCCTGGGAGGCAAGAAGCCTCCCTGGGTAACACACCTGGCAGGAAGCAGAGTCAGGCTCTCTGCTGCCTGTTGTCTGGGGTCTCCCCACTCCCAGGCTCACATGTACAGGGACAGCCCTTCCTCTTCCCCACAGATCAGCTGTCACTCTGAGCCTCAATCTAGAGTGGTCATCCCCTACTCTGGGACTGAGACTGTGAGGAACCACCTGTGCTATGGAGGCCTGCGGAGGCAGTGAGGAGGGGAGGGGGTATGAAGTGCTCTGTGTGTGTGCAAGGGCAGCATCAGCACTGGCTGCTCTTTTTAGCTCCATAATGTATCTCAGTGTCCTAAACCAACAAACTAAACACATCTTGTACACCAAGGTCTATTTCTACAAACATTCCTGCCTTAACAATGGCAAGCTGTGCCCTCAAGGAAATGGTCAGATTGTTGGATATGGAAGCAAACTGGGAAACAGGCTCTGGGGTCTTGACTCTGCTACTGAATTGTTGTAGGACCTTGCCTAGAAAAGGGGGTGAGCACAGTCCCAGGCTGGTCATGAGGGGGAACAGCAAAAGGCTCAGCCCAGCCCACTCCAGGTTGCCCTGTGCTTAGTCCCCACCCCTGGAGGGCAGGAGCTATAGGGTGTGGATTTAATGCTGGGCACTCAGTCCAGACCCTGGCTCTGCTACTAGCTGTGTGATCTCAGGAGGCCTCTTAACTTCTCTGTGCCTCTGTTTCTGCCCCATGGATCCAGAGAGAAAGTATAATGGACTTCACAGGATTGTGGTGATGGTTAAGGGAGATGATGCCTCAGAAGTTCTCATAGCAGCACCTGGGGCACAGTGGGAGCTCACAAATGGGGCTATGAAAATTTAGTGAGACTATAGTCAAATTTGGGGCTTAGATAGCACAAGCTCTCTACACGTGCCCTAAGCATGAACACTGCTGTTACTATAAAAGTCCTTTTCTTCATTAACGTTCTCTTCAATACAATGGGTAACTGAAGTTACATGGCCACATACACATTTTTTTAATCCCCTGGGATTCATAAAGGCATTTTCATTCTGAAACTGGCTGAGTGGAAGGTTGCTCCCCCCAGTCTGTGCTAAGGCTGGCCCCACCCAGGGATCAGACCCTCTCTCGGCCTTTCTCCCAACCTTCCAGTAGCGCTCACCCCTCCAGGGCGCTGCAGACCAGAGAAATGCACATTGGGGATGAATAGCACCGGTGGGGTCTCCAGGTCAGCCTCTGGTCGCAGGTAGGTTGTCTCATTGCCCCTGAAGCCCGAGAGCAGGCAGTCCTTGATGCCTGATGGGAGAAGGAAGGTGATATGTTCTCTGGTCCTGGCAGTCAGGTCCTTGCCCCAATAGTCTTCTCCTGCCCTTCACCAAGCCCAGCCCAGCTAATTCCTGGCCAATCCCTACTGACCACTATTGCTGGAGTCTGGGCACTTGACCTTCCTCCGGAACTGCTTCCGTTCATCATCCCGCATCTTCCTCTCAGCTCCCTGCAGGGAAGAAGGTGAGGGTCACCAAAGGCCTGGGAGGGGCTGGCTACTTTAACAACTGCTACCGGGCCTTAAACACGGGCCAGCCTTCTGGTCATGCTTTACCAACAGGGTCAGGACTTGGCCCCTCTCCTTCCCAGGGCCTAGTGAAGGTGTGCCCACCCCAGTCACCTTGTCACAGAAGATCTTGATCTGGCAGACGGCGCGGTGTACCAGGCGTTCAGTGCCTGATCCACAGTCGTAAGTGTCAATCTGCAGGTTCAGGGGGACACCTTTCACCCCCTTCTGTGAGGAGAAGTCTGTGCTCAGGCAGTTGACTCCGATAAACACCTGGGGACCAAGGGAGGAGCTAGGTAAGTGGACTGGCCAGGTTTCCTGCCCCACCACCTACAACACCTTTGTGTTCTGAGGCTTCTGTGTATCTGGTGAATACCCCTAAACCTCATGCAGTCCCTGGAAAACAAGCTTCACTACTCCTGTTTTACAGAGGGGGACAGATGCTCAGAGAGATTGGACAGCTTTCCCAAAGTGACACAGCAGTGTGTGGTGGAGCTGGCATCTGAACTCAGACTCAAACTCAGCTCCCCCTAGATTGCCAAGGGCAGCCCAGTGGTTGAGACCCTAGGAGGAATAAAGAGTCCCTAAGGACCTTAAAAACCAGAGCCTCATTTTTCTACAGCATCTAGAGCAAGGAGATGGAGGAGGGCTGAATCCTCTCTCCCACCCCACCCTGGCTTCAGGAGACCACTTTCCTGCTGGCCTAGAGACTCAGGTACAGCTCCTCTTTACACCTCCCCACCCCCCGCTTCCACTATCGCTGGGTGCCCTAGTGAAAGGTTCTTTCCACTCACTTGATTCTACCTCATGCACATCAAGGGAGTTCTCCTGGCCACCCCCACTTTCAGGGAGGAAATGGAGTCTCTGAGCAGGGATGTCCCCCCAGGGAGTCAAGCTAGAGGAGCCTCTAACAAAATGAGCCTGGAGGTGAGGCCCCCAAACCTGGGGTGGCAAACTGGACTGTACCAGTCAGTAGCCTCATGGCTTTGGACCAATCCTTTAATCCCACTGAGAGTTGGTTTCCTTAGTTGCAAAATGGGGATAATTAAACCTATCTTGTGTGGCTGTGAGGGTATGTAGACCACCTAATCTGCTTGGCACATTGTGACTTATCATGAGAGGGACAGCTCACCCCAAAGCCTATGCCTGGCTGATGGTAGCCCTGGGAAAGTCACCTGGTGGTCCCCAGGGGCTCTATGGGACTGCCCCTCCAGGTTGGCCTCTGGTCTTTGGAACATTTCCCTTGGAAATGACCCTGACCTGAATAGGAGGTGGGACTAGGTGCCTGAGCAGACCCCTTCCTTCCAGGCGCATGCCGGACATACTTCTCTCAGCCAGCTCAGCCCTCATGCAGCCCCCACCAGCTCAGCTCGCACCTGAGAAAACTCAAGCCTGGGGGCTTAAGAGACTGTGAGAAAATCCCCACCGAAACCCACCTTTCCTTTCCCATGAGAAACTTTTTCCCCACCTCCGTGAAGTGAACCGGAGGCCCCATCTCCTACTCTAGCCTCTGGCATCTGTTTGAATAGTAATAATCCCTGGCCTTTGTGCCTGCCTTTGTGTTTTCAGAGCTCTCTCACCTCCACTTTCTCTAGGCAGCCTGGCTGTCCCCTGAGGCAGGCAAGAAGGCAGGGGTTAGCTTCCAGCCTATAGAAGCCAGGAATGCCTTGAGATGAGCTGGACCTAACCCTGGTCCAGAGAAGAGAAAAGACAGGCCCAAGGTCTGTCAGCTCCTGACTCCCAGATCAGTGTCCTTTCTGTGATGCCCTCTCTAAGCAGGAGACCAAGACACAGCTGGGTCCCAGCACTAATATTGGAAGAATCTTAATGATATGAACAAGTCACCAGAAGCTCCACCTCTGAGATCTCACTGATGGCCCGGCCACTGTTTCAGTCTCTGGGACATGCACAATCTCACAGAATCTTTACCATAATCCCAGCAGGCAGATTGCCATTCCAGTCTTGTGGCCTCAGAGTAGTGAGGTAACTGGGATTGGAGCCCTCAGCACCAGAAGCCTTTTTCTCCTGCAGTGTTCTGCACTGACTTAGAAGTCAGAAGACCTGGTATCATCAGTGACTTGCTGTGTAACCTCACACAAGGCTGAATTTTCCTGTCTGGTAAATAGGAGGATTGCTTTAATCCTAACAGCCACCACGTATGTGCCAGGCACGTGCACTTTTACCTTCCTTACTTGATTCTTACTACAACCTATTCCGTGGTGCTGTGATTCCACTCCTGTCTTACAGCCAAGAAAACTGAGGCTCAGAGGGACTAAGCACTGGTCCAAATTCATACTACAGACCAATAAGTAGAAGGACTGGGGTGCGGACCCAGCCACCAGAGCCCCTGCTTCTGCCCCACTCTGTATCCTGGCTCTCCGTGAGTGCCCTCTTTGGAGCAAATGCCACAATCCTGGGCACAGGCAAGCCTTTCCCCCAGGATGGGGGCTTCCAGGCAAGCTACTCCTATCCCAGATGCTGCCTCCAGCACTGACCTTGGCCTCCTCATTCACGTCCCACACGAAGGACAGCGCATTATAGGCCACCTCCTCAATGTGCTGCACTGTGTTGAAGTTTTCTTTGCAGTCAGCTGAAATCACAGGAGACCAGAAAGTCAAGATTGAAGGAATTTAGGGGTGCTTTGGGGAGGAGGCATTTAGAAACTGGGTCTTAACTCTTGGGCGGGGCATGCATCCATCCCCCTAAGAATCACACTTTAATCCAGGGCGGAAAATGGATTTCTGTGCCCTGGATCACACATGGGAAAACGGGTCCAGCCTGGGAAGCAGATTTGTCCAGGGCTACAACTGGGCCCACCATTTTGGGTGGAGGTTATGCTCTTCATTGGGATTGTGATAAGTCAGCAGCAGTAGGAATGTTGATATAACAACAGTAAGAGGAGGAGTAATAGCTGTTATGAATGCAGCCGTTCTGGCAACTGCTATTTTTCGCACATTTATAATACGGCAAGCTCTCAGTTAATCCATATAACTATGTTGTGAACATTCAGCTTATATGTGAGGAAAATGAAGCTCAGAGAAGTTTGGTTACTTGACCAAGGTCACACAGCTAAAAAGTCAGAGCTCAGCTCTGTCAGGCTGCTAAACCCATGCTCCTAACTCCTCTGCTCTCTAGCCTCTCAGATAAGCCACTGACTAGTCTCTAATTTGTCTCATGTTCTCCAGTAAACACAGCTCTGAAGCAGAAATCAGCACTGTATGCAGGCAGGAAAGCAGGACTGGTTCTATCTGACAGTTGAACAAACTGAGGTTCAGGAAGAAGAGGTGACATAGGTCACGTAACCAGGAAGAGAGTGACAGAGCTAGAAGCTGAGACTTGAGGGTAGGCTGAGCCTTCCCCCTGTTTCAGGGCTCAGGAAAGAGACACACAGGGAGCCTTTCCCCTGGCCCCTACCTGTTGACAAAGTCTGAGGGTCCCAGCTCCCCAAAGCAGAACTTCTTGTGCTGTGCCTCAAGCTTTCCAAACCACCTACTGCCTACACTGTTATCACATGCATTTGTGTCTCCATCCTCCCCCTGATGGGGACAAACAGGCCAGTATCTCTCGAAGGCCTGTTTATCTGACATTGCTGGGGTCCCCAGGGTCTGTTTATCTCAAAGCAATACAGAAAAGGGTCTGCTGCTTCTAGTCAACAGATGCAAATCCCTGCAACTCCCCTGCCCCCACCAATGTTTAACCTGGAGACAGAGGTCAGAGGGAGCTGGGGTGAAAGGAGCAGAGCAAGAAAGATGCCTGATTTGTGTAGGAGATGCAAAGGAGAGAGAGACTGGGAGAGGGGTGGGATAGGCTCTCACCTACGTCAATGACCCGCTGCTTGGCAGTGGGTTGCCGGGAATGCCAGTGTTTCCAGAACCGCAGTTGCTCTACCGGGACCTTCTCATTGTCGAAGACAACCATCACCACACTCTGCAAGCACAGCAGGTCACTGTCACCCCCAGCCTGGGTGACCTGAGTCTGGGTCCAGTGGCTCTGCCTCAGTTTCCAGATCCCATGGCAATAGGCTATTATCAAACAGCCTTTTCCTGGGGGCTTTCTTTGTCCCAATCAGCAGGTGTGTCTTGCCCCATTCCACCCTCTCCCCAGGCTGCTCCAGGGCCAACACACCTTGACTTTGTTGGAGGACAAGGCAAGGCCTTTGCCACCTGCTGGTGTCCGCAGGGTGACAGGGTAGAACTGTCCCTTATTGAGGTAGGCCATGGGCGACTCGCCTGACTTGATGTGGATGGCTTTGGGGGAGCCCAGGGTGTACTCAAAGTCACTGTGGGGAAGAAGAGGGGGTGTAGTGAAGCTAGGCTCCCAGGAAGGAGTGTCCCAGAAGAAAGTGAGGCAGGAAGCCTGAGGCTATGTTGAAGGCTTACTGTATGACCTGGTAAATCACTTTACTTCCTTGGGCCTTAGTTTCCACATTTTGCGGGTTCTATTTAATGGCTTTCCCAAGCCACATCCTGATGAATGAGAACCCAGTGAAAGCTGGAGAGACCCCTGGGGGTGACAAAGCCCTGAGGGAGGATAATGGCAATAGAACCTTAGTTTTCAAATAGGGTACTAAGTTCTGAGCTCCCTGACACAGCCCTGGAAAGAGATGTGGAAATCATTCTCTCTCTTTTTTTCAGCCTTCACTCCTCTCTTGTCACTCTGATTTTGCCTTCTCTGCTCTGGAGACAGTTTGGGGCTCTCTCTGCAGCCCACTACTGGGTGGCTAAGGATCCAGAGGGACCAACTTACCTTTTGAGACTGGGATAGTCCTCTGGACACTGGGGTTCCGGGGATGCTTTCAGGATATCTGGGAAGAGCAGTGACTATAGAGAAACAAAGCCACACGAGAGAATAAATGGGCATATTCAAGCTGTAGGGATCTCAGCTTGAACAGCTGTTACAGCCTGAACAGTACAAGTTGTGCAGTGCACAACTCAGACAACAGTACATGATACTACCTCAGCTTTAAGACACTTTCTTCCATAATTCCAAAGCCCTGACCTTTGTACTACCTTCTCTCCTGCACATGCACAAACAGATCCACACTATGAGGGACATGGGGGTGGGCCCTCACCTCCTGTGGGTCATCTTTGAAGGTGCTGTCTGGTTGCCAGCGCTGTGTGGGTGGCACCCCATGAATGCTCTCAAACAAGGAGTTGAGGGAGCCATTATCATATATATCACTGGTGGGCAACAGGTAGCTATCCACAGAGCCAGGCTCCAGCTTGCTGGGGACTGGCGGGGGGGGAGCTGCCTTGCCAGCGTTGGGTACGGCCCCCTCCAAGCTCATCAAGTTATTCTTCTTGAGCAGATCTGGATACTCTGGGATTCCAGATACATTCTCTGTCAGGAATTTCATGAGGTGTGTGGGGCTTTCAAGGGGGGTGAGGTCTGTCTCATATTCCACGCCAAGGTAGTGCCTAGAAAGAGAGAGGAAGGACTAAGTCAGTGAACTGCATCTCTCTGGGGGAACGACCATCAACAACCATCACACTGACACACCGACCTTCTTTGATGCAATATAATGTTTACACCTACCCAGCATACACAGAGCAAGTGCTATAGCAGGTTAACTTGTCACAGGGAGAAGGGTGTTAAGAATGGAACCAAGTACAGGTTCAGGGTTGGGGGGAAGCATCTGTCTCACCCGTAAGAGTACTTGCTAATCACAAAAACGAAAAGTTTATAGTCATGTATTTCTCAACCATAGTCAAATGTCCCTGTTTCAAAATGTTCCCACCTCAAAACAATTGTATTGAGTCATCCCCTGGGGATGTGTACAGGGTTGGGGTGGGAGCATCTGTGAGTATAGTTAATAAGTATCTAGAAAAAATTCTAGAAGGATGTACCCCAAACTGTTAAGGGAGACAGGGGTATAGGATTACAGGAAAATTTTACTCTTTACTTCATGCATTTGCATATGTTTGAATCTTTTGCAAGAAACAAGTATTGCTTTTGTAATTAGAAGAGCTAATAACAGGCCGCATGAGCTCAGGTCTGTAATCCTAGCACCCTGGGAGGCTGAGGCAGGTGTATTGTTTGAGTTCAAGTTCGAGAACAGCCTGAGCAAAAGCAAGACCCTGTGAACAGGACCAAGACCCCATCTCTACCAAAACTAGAAAAACTAGCGGGACATTGTGGAAGGCACCTATAATCCCTGCTACCTAGGAGGCTGAGGCAAGAGGATGGCTTAAGCCCAAGAGTCTGAGGTTGCTGTGAGCTATGATGCTGCAGCTCTCTACCCAGGGGGAACAGAGCGAGATTCTGTCTAAAAAAAAGAAAAGAAAAGAAAAAACAAGAAGAGCTAATAACATTTCTAAAAATTAGTTCTGAGAAAGGTCCCCAGTGTACTGAAATCCATTCTTCCTGACAGGTGGGGAAAGTGACCCTGAACCAGCCACACCCTCATGCTGGGTTTCCAGAAAAGTTGCAACGCCTGCCTTAGCAGTTTGGATTTTCCAGAAGCCAGAAGAGAGGCGCCCAGAAAACTTCCCACCAGAGGCCCTACACGTCATTTTTAAGAAGTTATCCAGTTGACAGGAAAAGTGAAGCAAGAGGGACAAGGTCTCTGCAGCGCCCATCTGGCCACGAGCTTGGCCTGGACTACTTTCTAAAGGAAAGGAACATTGATGCCCCGAGGCGCTGATGCCAGGCAGAGGCCCAGCAAGCTGGGGGAAGAAGTACAAGAACCCAGACGTCCCTTCCAGAGGCTGCAGGGAGGAGGGTTTTGGAGCTGGGACAGAAAAGCTGCCTCCAGGGCTTTTTCAGTAAGGCTTTGAAGTTTGTTTTCAGTAAATTCAGGCCCACATGGCTTGCAGGCATTTGAGAGGGGGTGTGTGTGTGTGTGTGTGTGTGTTTAAGCAGAGTTTCATTATAACTTTCATGGGCTCTAGCCTCTTCTGCCTTTACTGACCCCTTCAAAGATATTTAAAAATACCTTTTACAACTGCATTTTTCTATTATTTTTAATTAATATATAGGTATATTATATTAATATTTTCTTCTGATTTTAAAGAAATTAATATGCTTTCATGGGCCCCCAAATGGACTGTGGCCCCCAGGCACCAGCCCCTGTACCCAGTGGGTAAGTCAGCACTGTGTTAATGAGCTCCAAGGTGGAGGTGAAGTGAAGGACAAAGACATGGGGATGGTGTTGGCAGCCTCACCTCTTTCCTTGGTCCATCCTGCCCCCAGTGCTGGAGGACAACATCCGCTTCTCCTTGGGGCCCTGAAAGGAGAGGAAGGATTTATGTATGGCTCTTGGCTAAGATCTGGCAGGTAGGAAGCTCAACCTCCCCTGGGGCTTTCTTTGGCCAGACAGAGGAGCAACCTTGGTCCCTGGGACAAAATCCAAAAGTCCTTCACTTTGGCAGGAGCTCCAGCCATCATTAGTCTGAGCCCCAGGTTAGGGAGCAAAAGAAGGAGCATGGAACTTGGAGTCAGGCAGGCCTGGCTCATGTCCTAGCCTTACCACTTAGAAGTATACTGTGACTTTATTCATAAAAATAATAATCAAATTTTTTTAATAAAGTGCTTCATATGCAGTGAACCTTGTACTAAGTGCTTTCTGGTCTCTAATTTAACACTGACAACCACTCTGAGGCATCTATTGATGTTATCACCATTATACAGATGAGGAAACTGAGGCTCAGAGGGACTCTTCATCTTAGTGCTTAGGAACCTAAATCCAGATTTCTCAGGTTCTATTTATTTCTAGATCCACCACATACTAGTTATGTGACTGTATGCAAATCCTTTCACCTCTCTGGATCACATATCCTCATCTGTAAAAACAGAGCGAATAATAGTAATACCAACCTTGGGGGTTGTTTTTAGTGCTTAGAACAGCACCTAGCTCATGGAGATATAAACAAGGTGGCCATAAAGTTCGTATGCAATTAAGTTGCACACGAACTTTATGGCCACCCTGTGTGTGTGTGTATGTGCCATTTTGTACTACTGCTATATCATGGAACATTCTAATTCATTTGTCCTCAAGGCTGATAAAGCCAGAACCAGGTCTCTAATCCAGTCTAGCAACTCCAAAACCTGGGCTCTTACCATACCCCATGAAAACGTATGAGGGAAGGTGCCCCAAACAGTGCCAGGCATTGAGTAAGAAACATTAAGTGGTAGCCTTTAACATTACATTGTGGTAGGACTAGAACTCATACTTCTAATTTAGTGTTCTTCCCACTGCAATAGACCATGCCCTCACTATCCACAGGGCTACTTTGAATCTGGGGTACTCTGGGATGGGAAAGGCAGGGCAAATATGTCTCACCAAGACACAGTTCTCCACCAAATCCCCTTCAGAGCCTGTCCCCACCATTCTGGCCCTGAGAATGGCCTCTTGCCCAAGGGAGATGATGCTGGATTTTATTTTATGATCCAATCTCAACCTATAATCCCAGGCTGGAGTTTGAACCCAGGCCTAGAATTGAGGCCTGAAGGCCAAGACACAAATTCAGTCAGAGGGGTGAACGCACCATGTAGTAATCATACAGGAAGCTCAAGGCTGCAACGCTGTCATCGTCCCCATTGACCCTCATCATGGCCTTCGTGGCAGCTGTCAAGGGGTTTTCCAGGTATGTCTTCCAGGCTTCATCCTCACTAGTGTAGGGGAACTTCTGGAAGTTGACTGTATCATTCTTTAGCAGCCGCACAGACCTGAAACTAAATGCAAGTAAGGAGGATCAAATTAGGCCACCCCAAATTTAGGTCCAGAGATGGGCAGTTTTAGGCCAATGCCCAGGAATTCAGAGAGTTACTAGCTTTGAAAACTTGGAACCACTTCATTTGCCACCATCAGGCAGTGTGGGGCAGTGGAATGGACACAAACTCTGAAGCTTGCTGTAGACTTAGGGCCTTGCTTTCCTCATGTACAACACAAGGACCCTCATCCTGAGCTTCCAAGACTGCAAAGAAGATTTAATAAAACGCCTCTGCAGTGGATACTTAGGCAAGGGAAATTAGCCTAACGGACAGGAAATGACAACAACAAACTGTAACGCGGGAACAACAAAATGTCTAGATGACCCAACACACCAGTTCTTCTGAAGATGTTGTCCTCAGGACCATGAAAGATACAGATGGCCGCAGAGCATTTCAAGCCAAGGAGAACGAAAGACAGCACCAGGGCTAGCAGGTCATGAGGCAGAACCAAGTCTTGGGAAATGTCATTACAGACCAACCTTTACTATGGGGTAATGGGGCAGCCCTCTGAAACCAGGAGCTGGAGTTGACTGCTGCAGTGCACACAGAAGCAGGCAGGACCTGGGCACTGGTGCCAAGAAGCTTGGGCAAATGCGAGGTACGGCAGCTCAAGAGACAAGCTATGTGGGCTTAAGGGTAAGCAATCAGGAAAGGTGTTTTGGAGGAGGAAGACATTTCAGTCAGGAAAATTCAGCACTGGGGATTATTTCACTGAGAAACAGGGGCAAGGAGGTGGGATGGAGATATAATACAGAATAATAATGATGATGGTAAATAAAATGATAATGCTCATCTTTATTGAACATTGACCGCGTTTTTTAGGCACTAAGCTGAGCATTTTTCATGAATCATCATCTCATTCAATGCTCACAATTACCCTGTAAAGCAGGTACTATTATGATGATTTCTATTTTATTATGGAGGAAACTAAAGCTCAGAAAAGTTAAGGGGGTTGTCCAAAGTCCCCGAGAGTGAGTGGCCCAGGGGGGATTCAAACTCTTGCAGGAAGATGCTGTGGTACAAACTGTTCTCAAATGTCAGTTGCATGAGAAAGACTAGAAAGGCATATTAAAGCACCAACTGCTTACACAATAGGGTGTCTAGAGCAAAGAACAATGTAGCATACCTTTCAAGAAAGCTAGAAAACAGGATTTTAAATTTTTCATCACAAAGAAATGCGTAAAGCAGTGGTTTTCAATCTTTTTTTATCTCATGGCACACTTGAACCTATAGTTAAACTTCTGTGGCACACTTACATTATATTGACCAAAAAAAAAGAGTAAAAAAAAAAAAAAAGAATAAAAAAATACATACTTACTGTGCTTTGAGAACTTCTTTTGAAAATAATTTAATTAATGATCTTTTGTGCCATGGCACACTACTTGAAAATCATTCACTGGTCTAAAGCAATAGATATGGTAATTACCTTGATTTAAGCATTCCAAATATACATGCATTGAAACATCACACTGTACTCTATAAGTGTGTACAATTATTGTGTCAATTATAAATTTTAAAAATTAATTTTTTTTTTAGACAGGGTCTCACTTTGTTGCTCTCAGTAGAGCGCAGTGCTGTCACAGCTCACAGCAACCTCACACTCTTAGGCTTAAGTGATTCTCTTGCCTCAGCCTCCCAAGTAGCTGGGACGACAGGCGCCCACCACAACAGCCAGCTATTTTTAGAGGTAGGGGTATTGCTCTGGCTCAGGCTGGTCTCAAACTTGTGAGCTCAGACAATCCACCCACCTTGGACTCCCAGAGTGCTAGGATTATAGGCGTGAGCCACTGCACCTGGCCTTAAAAATTAATTTTAAAATATTACAGATTTCTGGGCCCTACCCCTAAAGTTTCTGATTCACTAGGCCTAGGGTGGCTGGTATTTGCATTTCTAACAACTCCCCAGGTGATGCTGATAGTCTGGGGGCCATCTTTTGAGGAATCACTAGCATAGCACACTCTCTTAATCATGAGCAAAGGCACAGGAGCAGGAAAGTTGAGTTGTGCTCATTTAAGAGCAAAGAATGTGTGAAGGACAGTGGTAGGTGAGAAGATGAAGTTGTCCACGTTAGGAAGAGAGAGCCCCAGAGATGAAGTGGGCACTGATGGTAGCCGGGTGCCCCAGTGCACCAGCATTTACTATAATGTATTATACACGAGCACTCCTTCCATTAGCTCGTCTTCTTAAAAGGACTTTGCAAGGTAAAGACCATCTGCTTCATCTGTAAAGATGAAGAAACCTGAGTCTTGGAGAGAGTAAGAAAATGCCCAAGATGATCCAGGTCCATGATGCACTCAGGATTTAAACTGAGAATGATCGAGCATCAAAGTCAATCTTCCCATTTAGACACCTTGCTTTTCTTTTTTTTCTTTTTTGGAGACAGAGCCTCAAGCTGTCCCCCTGGGTAGAGTGCCGTGGCATCACAGCTCACAGCAACCTCCAACTCCTGGGCTCAAGCAAGTCTCCTGCCTCCACCTCCCAAGTAGCTGGGACCACAGGTGCCCACCACAACGCCTGGCTATTTTTTGGTTGCAGCTGTCATTGTTGTTTGGCAGGTTGGGGCTGGATTTGAACCTGCCACCTTGGGTGTATGTGGCTGGCGCCTTAGCCACTTGAGCCACAGGCGCTGAGCCAACACCTTGCTTTTCCATATGTAGGAGGGCAGTCTCTACTACAGCAGAGACTAGTGGTAAAATTTCAACACCATGGCAGACTTGTGGGTGGCAAAGGACCTTTGTAAATCATGCCCCTGGAAGTGCCCTCCTGCCACCCAGCTGCTCAGGGCCACATTCTCAGACTATAGTGGGAACAGCAGACCAGGCCATACCTAGGCACACTGAAGTGACAGCTCTCCTAGGGGCTTTATCTGGGGTGGTGTCTCCTATCCTGCTGGGCCCCAGGGTGTGGGGAGTTAGGCTCTGAGAGGGAGAACGAGCTGTCATACAGGAAAGAGAAATGACAGAAACCTTCCTGCTCCAGAGAGGTGGAGAGTGAGGCACACCCTGAGTTTCTGCTGCTATTATAAATCAAGGGGCCTAAGATGGAGGTGAGACGAGGGCTCTCCTACTCACCTCCTGGGCCTTACTAAGCAAGCCCAGAGTGGCCACCCTTTCCCTCTCCTCAGTCCCAGGCTAAAGAGAACTCCCAAACAAAAGAGGCATGAGAAAAGCAGGGACTGCCATTGGACAGCCCCCCAGGGGTCAACCAGGATACTTATTTGTAATAGAATGTCTAATAAAAGCCCCCACCACATAGGATTATGAGGATTAAGTGTGTTGGCATAAGAAAAGTGCTTAAAAGTGTGTCTGGCAGACAACAAGTGCTTAACACATACAAGCCATTATCGTGCTCTGGGCCAGCAGATGGAGTTAGGCAATTAGGAGGTACAAAGTGGTACAAGGCATGGTCACCCTGCAAGTCAGTAGCAGGTCTGGGCCTAGAGCCTCAATTTGCTGACTCTGGTGGAATGACCATTAACAGCTTTGATGACATATGAGTTATTTTTACCCTTTTAAGAAAACAAATTGTAGAAGACAAAAAAGCCCTATAGAAACAAAAGAACAGGCAAGGTTTGCTGCTCACCTAGGAGGTTTTTCTGGCTTCCAAGGGTCTCTGGTCCATCCTCTTGGGATCTCAAAGGACCCTTTGATAAACAGCAGCTACTATACCTTCAGCATCCCTCAGGCAGACATGGTGCCAACTGTCTCTCTGTGTTTTCTCATCTATTCCACACAATTAGCCCAGAGGGATGGAAATTACCATCCCCTTTTGCAGAAGGGGAAACTGAGACTCAGACTATATCACCTCCTCCAGGTCACTTAGCCAGGAAGTGATGGAAGCTCAATTTGAACTTGGACCTGTTGGACTATATGATGCAGCTCTTAACCCCTGTGCAAGTCTCCTTTCTAGATTCCTTTCCTACTCTAGAATTTTCCCTCTTTTAAAATACATTGAACCAGTTCTCTGGTGCAAAGCAGAAAGGAATTTCCCACCTACACAAGGCAGAAGAGACTAAGAAAGCATGCTGTCAATTGGAAAAGTCTCGGGCCAGGTGCTGGAAGCCCTACTGTCCTGGTCTCCACACCTGTTCATGCCTGCCAATCAATTCCATGTCCCAAGACTAAGCATTTGGCTTCTAGAGAAGTCTTGACAATGGATAGATAACAGTTAATATTGACTTGTATGTCAAATCCCAAAATCCAAGAAACTCTTGGCTCTCTGCTCTGTCAATGATTGAAAATAAGGGTTAAAAACTCAGTTAAGTGAGAGAGGGAAAAAAGTTGTCCCAGGAGCTGATACTGGATCACTGTGAAAAGGAATGTAAGAAGACATGAGCGATAGGGCCAGAACAAAGAAGGGAAACTAGGTGGCTTCCAACCTATGTGCTAAACTCTCTTGATGTCCCTCTCCAAGACAGAATTCCTGAGCTATCAGAGTGTCCTGGGTAAGGCTCTCAGTCCTTCTGCACCTATTTCCTCATCTGTTAAATGGGTCTAGTGAATGTCTTCCATATGCCAGTCAGGGTCTCTTCCAGGTGCTGGGGAATCAGCCAAGAACAAGACAGATAAGGCTCTGTTCCCATGGAACTTGCAGTCTAATTGGAGAAGATAGATCATAAACAAGCAAATGAGTTAATTTTATTTAGTGATAAGTACTATGAAGAAAATGAGAACATAGTAACATAATGAAGTAGTCATCCGGGTGGCTACTTTAGAGTAGCATTCATCTCATGAGTTGTTAGGAGAATTAAGTGCATTAAGGTAAGAAATGTGCTTACCCCAGTGCCTGCCAGAGAATAATCACTCAGTAAATAATAGCTAACATCACCATCATCATCGCAGAACCCCCAAGTGAGAGTAAAGGGGAGACTCTGCCTGAGTTCTTAAATTATCATCCTGTTCTTCCAAGTCTTCTCTCTGTGAACCAGGTTGTATGTCAAAAAAAAGAGAGAGAGAGACAGT